CGACAAGGACAGCGTCCTGCGAACTTCAGCAGATGGTGCTTATTGTCAACGGTGCGCGCGCAGAGCCGGCAACCTTACGCCTCCTCACGCGGAGGGAGCCCACACGTGCCCGGAAGGTGCCCAAGAGGGCTGGGAGGCTGGGATGGAGGAGGAAGAACAAGCAGGGAGCTGAGCCAAGCTCAGCCCGCAGGGTTATAAATACTGTGGGGAGGCCGCGGGGCTTCACGGGAAGGGGGCGAGGAAAGAACAGGACCCCTCTCCCCATCTGTGGTAGAAAAACCTCAAATCCTGCCCTTTGTGGCTGTAGCAGGGCAAAGCCTCCAACCGGTGCCAAGAGCTCCTGCCCTGCGGTACCGTGCCCACCCCTCCAGCAGAAATGCTGTGCAGCCTTTAGGAAACTACAGGAAGAAACTTTAGCAACACAACAAATTCTCAGAGGTAAACACTTCTTCCTAAAAAACCCCAGCAGGTAGTTCGACATGAAAGCAGGAGGACGGGGGGGAATAAATCCCCCGTTAAATCAGCCCAAGTCCTTGGGATGGGCTCTTTTCCTTCCCTAAGTAAAAACCAGGCAACTGTGGGTTAAAATCAGTTATCCCAAACGGCAAAGTCAACTTCAGAAAGCAAAACCCTGCTCCTGCCAGGCAGCACTGTCCCCGCTGCACAGGCAGGAGAGCCAGCGGGACAGAAAGGGGACTTGCCCTCGCTGGCCCAGCGAGCTGCCAAGGGGCAGGGACGGCACCGCCGTCCTCAGGCAGGGCAGCCAGCCCCCCGTACCCCACAGCTTGGCTTCGGCTCGTTCAGAACGGGGTGTGTGCTCTCACTTTACCATGGTATTTAATGAGCAGTATAAATACAGCCCTGCCAATGAACACGGCAACACCCCGGTCGATGCATTTCCATCCCTACGACCCATGCGAGACCCGGTTCAGTTGTCCCAGCAGCCACGGTGCTGTGAAAGCTGTACAAGCTCCATACAGACAAGCACTCCCTAAGACAACCTCCACCTATGGTACGTGC